AACTTCCAAAGACAGGGCACCTTCACAATGAGAGGCCAAGACAAGGCTGCCAACTTGCAAGGAACTGGCAAAATGAACCTTGGCACATTTGCTGAGGAACTTGGCTCTCCAAGAACAAAACAGCAGTGCCTATTTTTGTTTTCCCTTCTCCATAAGGACAGTGTACACTCAACTTCAAGTTATGTGGATAATTTCCCATTAATTTTTTTTTTTTTTGAGACAGGGTCTCGCTTTGTAGTTCAGGCTGGCCCTGAACTCACTATGTAGCCCAGGCTGGCCTTGAATTCACAGCAATCCTCCTGCCTCAGCCTCCTGAGTGCTGAGATTACAGGCCTGCAGTACCACGCCTGGCCCAATTTCCCATTAATTTTGAAGGAGTTAATGTCAATTTTCCATGGGTGATACTGCTTAAGAAACAGAGATAAACTGCCTACACACAAATTATACAGTCTAGAAATAAATGTTTCCCTGATATTTCAGACCAATGTAGAGAACTTTTTAGATCTTGATGGAAAAAATATACACACATATCCTTTATTCTCTGTCTGATTCAGCTGGGTCCAGTGTAGTAATGAAATAAATTGCTTTCTCACTGACAGTTATGGTCATCAAGAACTCCAAAATAACAGAAAGCTACTATACTTATCCTAAAATATGGGGTCTTCTCCTTATCCTACAATCCTCTTTATGGGAAAAAATTTTTTTCATCCCATGTTATTCTCCTACAACCGCTCCTTCAAAGGATGCCAATGATCAACTCAGTCTAAGTAATGTTCATGCAGCCCTGCACCCCAAGGACAACCTCCTCTTTCTGGGCCCCCTTCTTTCTTGGTTCAGGGCAGTGTGTTTTCTCACTTTTCTTCCAACTCCTTTGATGATTTTCCCATAGGATCTCTTACTAAGACTGGAATTTCTAGTCTCATCTCACCTAGGTTTATTTTCTCACGTGTACCCCACTTAACTATTGAGTGTCACTTATGTGTTGCCCTAAGGTTCTGCCTTCATCTCTATTTTCCCTCATCTCCATGAGTGACTTCTTCCTCTGGGATTTCATCCAGCCTGAAGATATTAATTATCAACTCTACCTATTTTATCCCACTTTTTTTTTAAGTCAAAGTCTCCCTATGCATTTCAGGCTGTCTTGGAATGTGTTAAATTACTCAGGCTGGCCCCAAACTCATGATTCTCCTACCTCAGCCTCCCCAGTCCTGGGATTATAGGCATGCACCACCATGTCTGGCTCCATTCCTCCATTTTTAACCATTGCATGCATATATATATATATATATATATATATATATATATATATCCTTATCATTTCCTTCCTGAACTTTATAACAATTGCCTAAATAATTTTCCTAACTAGCATTCATGCTACAGAAACTATCTTTTCCCTTCTCTCATTTCCTCCCTTTCTCTCATTTTTATCTCAAATTTAAATATAAAGTATTTGTGCTTCCAAAAATTCCCCAAATTTAGAAAACTAGAAAGAAAAGGAAAATCACTATAAGCCTATGTACAAAGTCAGCCATTTTACCTTCAATGGATCTTATGCCAGAATTTTTCCAGCTATAGGTTTTCAAAGAGTGGATCTTTTCAACTTTTATGGGTCAGATAAATCTAGTCCATTTAAATGATTCCAAAATATAAGAAGAAGCCTAAATACCTTTTTTAAAGCCAACAAAATATTGATAAGAAACCTGACAAAGAAGCCCACCAAAAAGAAACATGAGCCTAATCTCCTTTACAGAAATTGTGTAAAAGTATGAAGTATGGAAAAAATGTAATAGAAAAATAAATGTAGGACAAAAGAATGTGACAATGATTCAACATTAAGAATTTGACTTTAAAGAACACATAAATAGGATAAGACAAATTCTAATTATTGTTTCAAGACAAATAAGACCTTTTATAAAATTCAAATTATATTCCTATCTGAAAGGAACTATGAGCAAAATAAGAATGGATGATTCCTTGGTGATATGATTCATCTCAGCATCATACTCCACAGTGAAAAATAAGAAAAATTTCCCTTGATGTGAAGAACAAGAAAAGAAATTTTAGCTTCCCATTATTCACAAAATACCAAATAATGCAGTTAGACAAAGTATAAGATATCAATACAAGAAAGAAGGCAAACTTGTAGTCATTAACAGATGATATGTCACTATGTATAAAAAATTAAAGATATATATATAGGAAAATCTAGTAAGTTACAACTTTGTCAGTATTTTTGCATAATCTTCACAAGATCGATTTGTACTTTTCTTTGCAGAGACAACTTATGGAATACTGCTGGCTAGTTTTGAAATTGAATTTTGGAAGTAGTTTCTTTCTTTCTTTCTTTTGCTTTAAAAGAATTTAAACAGACTGAATTTATCTAGAAGGCTAAAAAATTCACATGTTGAACAAACAAAAAACCAAAAACCTATAACTGAAACGATCCCTGCAAGAACCCAGTAGTTATGGCATAATTATACAAAAATCAATAGCTTTTATCACAAACAATGGCTGTGTAAAAAATATAATAGATTTAATTCACAGTACTATCTATAACAGCAAAAGCCTATGAATACATTTCAAAAGGCCTATGTAGAACATATATACACCCCAAAGAAGAAAACAAAATGTCAGGCTTCTGCTGAGGACCATAATGTTAATGAATAAGGAAAGATATATCTTGATATTGAATAGAAAATGTCAAAAATGTAATCTCAATAATAGAATTTCTAAATTTAAATATATTTGAATCAAAACCACTAAAATATCTGCAATTGAAAGGAGCCAGTCTTCAAAAAAGCTAAGTAATTGAAGAGTTCCTGGAGAAAAATAAATATGTAAGGATAGCTAAGAGAAACTTGAAAAGAGAGGAATACTAAAAGATAGTCCACCATTTTAAGAAACTATTTGTCATAATACTTATGGTAGTATTATAGTGGTAGTGAACAGAAATAGCAATGAAACAGAAATCCAAAAAGAGACCCAAATATATACAGGGATTTAGTCTATGAAAAAAAGGCATTTTAGCCAATGCATTGTTTAATAAAAGGTGTTTGAAAAATAGACTTAGTTGAAAAACTTAGCAGAATTACTACTTATTTCCTTACAATGAAATTAACTCCAGAGCAATAAAAGATTTAAATATTTTCAAATTAAAACTTCAAAGTAACCAGAAGAAAACAAGTGGAAACCCAGAAACCACATAGGCAAAGTTTGCTCTAGTTGATAAAACAATAAACTTTATAATTCTTACAGGCAATATTAAAAAAAGTCAAATGTCAATCAGTAAGAGTAAAGGTGTGTATGTGTGCACAGTACAATAGACAAATTGCTAATTCTAAGTATATATTTTGACTAAATGCCAATCTAGTAGAAAAAATAGGGCCTTTAATTTTCAACTCTAATTATGGAGTTGAATTTCTCCCCTTGTGTTTATTGGTCATTTATATTTTCTGCCTGATCTTATAATTTTTCCATTTTATATTGTATATGCCTGATGCTGTGTAAAAGATCTTTGACTATTAACAACATTTAACCATCTCTTAGATTGCATACATTTTCCCCAACTGTTATTTGCCTTTTTTTTTTTTACCAGCGTCTAACAATATGGAAATTTAAAATTTTAGGTGGTAATATCTCTTATTTTCATGGATTCTAGATTTCATATCTCATTTAAGGCATTTTCCCTACATAGATTAATAATATAATAATACAGCAGCTATATAGCACATATGAAAATATTTATGTATTTATGTCTCTTGTACATGGTGATGTACATGTTTTTCTCCAAAAGCTAAATACCCTCACATAATTTATGGAGTAATCCTTCCTTTCCTCATGAATTTGAGACAGGTTTTTTATATATTTAATTGCCATATTGTTTTAGATCTGGGTAGGACTTAGAGTGTTGCACGAAATTTACATCTCCATGCCCATATCATGAACTTTAAATCACAGTAACTTACTTTCCTATCTAGGAGGGTAACAACCATGTTCATTCTTCTTTTTCCAAATATTTTTTTATTTTAGCATAGGCAATTTTTTCGGGAGGGGGCACTTTATTTTTAACATAAATGTTTGAATAAATTTGACAAATTTCCCCCAAATTCCACTGGAATCCCCACTGAAATTTCATTGCATTCAAGAGCTTAACTGGGAAAAGACTGGCTTGTTCCAACATGGCCTTCCTATTTAGGAGCATGGTTTTGGTTGTATATTTATCTGGATCTTCTTTTCCACCTCTCTGTAATGTTTACAGATTTTTTTCAAAAGGTCTTATACTTTTCCAGTTACTTTATTCTTGGATATTTGATACATTTTACGACTAATGTGAATGAGATAATTTTTACGTCATTTTCTAAGTATTTATTAAAGGTGTACAAGGAAACACTGATTTTTGGATATGTAGGTTATGCCACTTTGGTGAACTGCTTATTAGTTCTAATGAATTATCCTACTTCCATGTTGTATTTACTGCAGTACGCTGCTAACCTCTCCTACTGACATATTTATAACATTTTGATGCCTTCCACAGACAATATGTTATTTGTCTTAGTGTCAGTAAAGCACAATAATGCCAAACACATGAACTTAATGAGTAATAATTCCTTAAATTCCATTCCAATTTTGTCAGGAACTACAGGTTGAATTTCCACCTGCTTGCTAGATATTTTCATGTTGGTTGTCTTCTAGTACCTCAAATTCAACAATTCTCACTAGAAATTTCAAGACCATCCTTTCTCTCTCTCTTTCTCTGTTTCTCCTATACACAAACACACACACACACACACACACACAGCTAGTCATTTATCAAGTCCTAAAATTTCTACCTCTGCAGTGCTTTTATCTCATTTTCACTTAAACTTCTTCAGAATTCCCTTTCCAAACAGCAAGTCCCCCTCCTATCCAAAAATTTTCAGTGGTCAGTTTCCTGCAGCCTCAACAACAAAATCAAAATTGAGCATGGTGTTCAGAAATTTCCCCAGCCTGCTTCTACTTACCTTTCTGGTTCAATCCATCTCACTCCAAGTCACTGACATAGGGATTCAGGTAGGAGTAATGTGTGGACCTCTCAGGAAAAGCAGACCAAGTGGAACAGGACAAGGGAAGAAACTGAGCAAGGATGTGGTCTTGGCTGGAATCTAGCTTCAGCCTGATCCATAGGAGCTCTGCAACATGAATTTTCCCAGAATACATATCACATTGAGGCAAAGAAAGCTGTTCAATTATGTGCTAAAGGTGAAGAGTAGCTCAGCTTTCTGTTCAGATGGATCTCATTCCATTGAGGACAAATTTCTGAAAGAGGGTACAGCTGTGATCTTAGAAACAGCCCACACTCACTCATTTAGGGGAGGGATAACTGACTTTCTAATGAAGATCTGGAAAGGACTGCAGCACTTCCTGCTCTCTCCAAATATATCTCATTTTGTTGCTTCAACTTCAGTAATGCAAGAATACTTGGTATTTTCTAAACATCCCTTTGTCCATCTATCATTTAATGTCTTACCTAGAATAATCTTTCTACCTTGTCCAACTACCCAAGACCTACTCAAATTGTGCTTTAGTCCAAACTTTTCTGTCAGAGTTCTGTGTCCTCAATTTAGGGTTTATTAACCTTTTATTTTCAGGCCGGGTTACCTCCCTCCTTTTAGCATTTTTTTAATTAGTGCATGCTTGCAGTGCATAATGCTTACACTCCCTGCGTGGAGTTGGTCCATGTACATAACACAACTTAATTCCTTTTTCATCCCCTCTACTTCCTCTCCCTCCTTCCTCCTTCATCTCTTGATCTCCTTCCCATTTGAGAAAGACCTATCTCCCTACTTCCCACTATCTTTTATTTTGCTCTTTATTTGTAATTTGAATTTCTCGTATGAAAGAAACCATGTGATATTTAAGCTTCTGTTTCTGATTTATTTAACACTATTGTCTAAAGGTATATCCATTTTCTTACAAATGATTCAAGTTTACCTTTCTTTAAGGTATAGTAGCACTGCATTTTCTGTAAATACCACATTTTCTTTATGCATTCATCTGTTGATGGATATATAGGCTGCTTCAAAAATGTAACTATTATGAATTGTGCTGCTGTAAACATAGGTATGCATGTATCACTGTAATATGATGTCTTTAACTCTTTTTAGGAAGATGTCTAGAAGGGGAATAGATGGGTCAAATGGAATTTCTAGTTTTATGTTTTTCAAATATTTTCAAACTAATTTCCATTTTTTCCCCACAGCTTCATCAGCATTTCTTATTATTTTATTTCTTGATGATGACCTTTCTTTCTGGGGTAAAATGCAATCTAAGTGTTTTAATTTGCATTTCTCTAATGACCAGTGATGTTGAGTATCTCTTCATGTATTTATTGGCCATTTGTACTTCTTTTGGGAAGTGTCTATTCATTTCACATCCCCATTTTTGAATTGGGTCTTTTATTTTCTGGAGTCTAATTTCTTTGAGTTCTTTATATATCCTAGATATTAGTCCTCTGCCTGAAGAATAGCTGAAAAATACTTCTCCCATTGTAGGTTGTCTTTTTACTCTGTTGGGGTTTTTTTTCCTCTGTGCAGAAGCATTTTAATTTGATATGATGCCATTTGTTGAATCTTTGTACTATTTCCAGTGCAACCAGGGCTCTGTTCAGAAAGTCTTTGCCTATATCTATGAATTCAAGAGTTTTAACTATTTTATCTCCCAGCAGGTTAAGTGTTTCTGTTTTAACATTTAGTTCTTCAATTCATTTTGATTTTAGTGTAGTTTATGGTATGAGATATGGATCTAAATCCAGTCTTCTACATGTACATAAAGCCAGTTTTCCCAACACCGTTTGCTAAAGAGACTGTCTTTCCTCCAGTGTATGTTTTTGGTCCTTTTGTCAAAGATGAACTAGTTGAATGTGCTTGGGGTTGTTTCTGCATCCTCTTTTTCTGTTCCAGTGATCTTCATGTCTGTTTTTGTGCCAGTACCATGCTGTTTTTAATCACTGTATGTTTGTAAAGTAACTTCAAGTCTGGGATCGTAATGCTTCCTTCTTTGCTCTTGTTACCCAGGATTACTTTTGTTATTCTGGGTCTCTTCTGATTCCATACAAATTTTAGGATTGTTTTCTCCAGTTTTGTGAGGGATGTTGTTGTTATTTTGATTGAGATTGTGTTAAATCTGTATATAAATTTTGGAAGTATGGCTATTTTGACTATATTGATTCTGCATATGCAGGAGCAGAGAATATCCATTTTCTGTTACCTTCTTTGAATTATTCTCTCAATACTTTAGTTTTCTTTGTAGAGATCTTTTACTTTCTTGGTTAGGTCAATTCCTAAGTATTTAATTTTTCTTTTTGCTATTGTGAATGGTATTTTCTTCTAATTTCTTTCTTTTTGAGACAGAGTCTTTTTTTCTTTTTTTGGTGCTGGGGATCAAACTCAGGACCTTGTGCTTTCGAGGCAGGCATCAGAACCACTGAGCTAAATCCCTGGTCCTCTAATTTCTTTCTTACTGGGTTCATTATTAGAATACAGGAATGCTATTGACTTTCGTGTGTTGATTTTGTATCCTGTTACATTATTGAATTTGGTTATTAATTCTAAGAGTCTTTTGGTAGATTTTTTGGGTCTTTTATGTAGAGGATTGTGTCATCTGCAAATGATAATTTGATTCTTCCTTTCCAATACATATGCTCTTTTTCTTTCTTTTTCTTTCTTTCTTCCTTTTTTTCTTTCTTTCTTTTGTTCTTTCTTTCTTTTTTTCCTAATTACTCTTGCTCATGTTTTGAGTACTATGTTGAAAAGGAGTGATGATAATGAACATCCTTGTCTTGTTCCTGATTTGAGAGGGAAAGCTTTGAGTTTTTTCCCCCTACTTAATGATATTAGCAGTAAGTTTGTCATAAATAGCTTTTATCAAATTGAGATAAGGTCCTTCTATACCTATTCAGTGTTTTATTATGAAAGGATGCAGGACTTTGTCAAAAACTTTTTCTACATCTATTGAGATAATCATGTGGTTTTTGTCCTTGCTTCTGTTTATATGTTATATTTATCAATTTGCATATGTTGAACCTTCCTTGCATCCTTGGGATAAAACCTACTTGGTCATGATTTATGATCTTTTTGATTATTCACTGCATTCTGTTTACAGGTATCTTGTTGAAGATTTTTGCATCCATATTCATTAAAGAGATTGGTCTATAGTTCTCTTTTATGGTAAGATCATTGTCTGGTTTTTGGAATCAGAGTAATGATATCTCCCCAGAATGACTCTGAGAGTACTCTTTCCCTTTCAATTTCATTAAAGAACCTGAGGGGTATTGGTATTAGATCTTCCCTGGAGTTTTTTTTAAAATACAGCAATGAATCCATCCTGACCTGGGATATTCTTCATTGGCAGTTTTTCATTACTACCTCAATTTCTTTGCCTGTTATTGGATTATTTAGGGTTTTTAAATCTTCTTGGTTTAGTTTTGGTAATTCATGTTTATCTAGGAATCTATCCATTTCTTCTGAATTGCCCAATTTATTAGTGTATAGATTTGCAAAGTAGTTGTTAGTAATCTTTTTTATTTGATCAGTCTCTGTTGTGATTGCACCTTTTTCCTTTCTAATTGCATTGATTTGATTATTTTGTCTCCTTTTTTTGGTTCAATTGGCTAAAGGTTTGTCTATTTTGTTTATTGTTTATTCTTTTTTTTTTTTTGGTACCAGGGATCGAACTCGGGACCTTCTGTTTGCAAGGCAGGCAGTGGCACCACTGAGCTAAATCTCTGGCCCTATTTTGTTTATTCTTTTGAAAAACCAACTCTTTCTTTTTTTTCTTTTTCTTTTTTTTTTTTTTTTTGGTACCAGACATCAAACTCAGGACCCTGTGCTTGCGAGGCAGGCGGCCAGCACCACTGAGCTAAATCCCGGGCCCGATCAACTCTTTGATTTACTAATTCTTTGTTTGTTTGGTCTCAAAATTGATTTCTGCTCCAATTTTTATAATTTCTTTCCTTGTGCTAATTTTGGGTTTGGATTGTTCTGGTTTCTCTAGGACATTTAGGTGCACTGTTAGATTATTTATTTGGACTTGCTCTGTTTTTGTGATGTGGGCATTCACAGCTATAAACTTCCCTCTTACAACTGCTTTCACTGAGTCCCATGCATTTCAGTATGTTGTACTGGCATTATCATTTAGTTCTAGAAACTGTCTTATTTCTTCCTTGATTTCTACTGTCACTCATTGTTTAGTTAAGAGTATATTGTTTAGTTTCCATCCATTTGCATATATTCTGTGCTTTCATTTGTCATTGATTTCTGGGTTCTTTGTGCTATTGATCTGATAATACACATAGTATAACATCAATTCTTTTACATTTACTTAAGATAGCTTGCTTTTTTTTTTTTTTTTGTACCGGGGATCGAACTTGGAACCTTGCGCTTGCAAGGCAGGCGTCAGAACCATTGAGCTAAATCCCTGATCCTTAAGCTAGCTTTATTGGCTAATATGCAGTCTTAGAGAAAGTTTCATGTGCTGCCTAAAATTATGTGTATTCTGTTGTTATTTAGTGGAACACTCTGTATATATCTATTAAGTCCATTTGTCTGAAGGTTTTGTTCAACTCTGATATTTCTTCATTGATTTTTTTTCTAATTGATCTGTCTATTTGTGATAGTGGGGTAATAAGGTCCTCCACTATAATTGTGTTTATATTTCTCTGATCTTTTATGTCTAGTAGTACTTGTTTTATGAAGTTGTTTAGTGCATTGTTTAGTGCATGAATGTTTATAATTGTTAACTCTTTCTGTTGGATTGTTCCCTTAACCAATACGCAGTGATCTTTTTTTGCTTCTTTTGATTAGATTAGTAGATGGGAAACATGATCAGCCCTGTAGTCTCTGCTGGATGTAGGCCACTGGGTCAGAGTTCCAGTGGACTGCTGGACTTAAGGTCAACACTCACAGGGTCCAGTTGCTCCCTATGGAAGGCCGGGCCCAAGTCCTTTCCAGCACCAGCTTACATTTCTTAAGGGGGTCCACTCCCTCTCTGCAGTGATCTCCTGCAGTTATGTCTCACCCAGTTACTTGGGGAGGGTAACACTGGAGTCCCTGAAGTTGCTGGCCAGGTCCATACTTTGTCCCTGGATCTGCTGGCTTTATGGGCTTACTTTCTGTCCTTTAGCATTGTCCTT